GCCTGGCCCGAACGCAAACGAAAAGGTCACTGCAAGAGACCGAAGGCCCCTGCCTGTGCATCAGCTAGCTCGGACTCGAGGCGAGCCTTAGACAACAACAAAGACGCAGGGCTGGGCATGTCCCAACCATGTTCCCTGTATTACCCCCAATAATGGAGAATCAAATGGAAAAGAAAATGGAAAATGAAATGGAAACTACTATAATATTGGCGGCCCAAAGAATTTCTCAACAATCCCGATGTTCCGCGGATCCCTAAGCGTGCCCTATTTTTGGAAAAACTCCTGGGTACTGCCCGTGGGGTGACCACGACAAAGTCTTCGGACAATGTGCCAGAGTACCCTCCCCAAAACCAACGTGGAACCCTACAAAGTCGCCTATGAAAGGACAGTAATTTTTGAATTATGGGCCCCTTTCAGGTTTCATGCTAGCTTGGGGAATTTTGGGGAGAGGATAGCTAAGGCGTTTGGGATGGCAGTGGTGGGCCCCGATAGCAACAACCGGGAAAGACAGGCAACATCCTCACCATTGCTCAACCCTCAACCTAACCACTAAGCCCCTCAACCCTAGACTTTACACCGGCTCCCAACCCCCAACTCCCAAAACCCCAAAGACTCTGACCTGATCTGCTGAAAATCTGCGAACACTCGGGTTGAGTCCTTCTACCTTGGGATTGGAATGTTGGGTGTTCACAGAGTTTAGTTTAGGGCTTCACAGATCTTAACGGTTTGGGGCTTTATAGGGGGCGTACAGGGTTTTCAGGGTTTTGGGTTAGATGGTAAAGTTTAGGCTTCAGAGGGTTTGAGGTGTAGGGGGCTTGGGCCTGGGAGGTTCGGGTTGATGGGGATTCGGCTTCAAGACTTTTAGGACTTTGGCTGCTGGGCTGATGAAGAAGGATGCTGGCGGTCTCCACTAAGGACTACAGACAGAAGACTTGGAACAACTCAACACTGATCCCCTAAATACTTTCACCCAAACCTCGAATCTAAAATCCACATCCCTGAAGCCTATAAACCCCCAAACGCTAAACCCTAAGCCTGAACCTCCTGTGGGCGCATCCCCACTTTAAATCCCCAGGCACCTCAGCGCTGCAGAGCGCCTTCTCAGCAGCCTCCTCCAGATTCATGCCTGAGACGGTCCCAAAAGGATGGGCTCTTGGCACTACTGAAATTGATTGGGGTAATATTGGGATACTGGAAAAGAAAATGGAAACTACTATAGTATATTGGGGTTATATTTGGATAATGAAAAAGAAAATGGAAACTGGTATTTTCTGAAATTGACTTGTTGTTTTCCTCATGTAACAATGACATTATCAAAGGGGGTAGCAAGAATACATTGTTGCCAAGCCAGAAAAATCCTGGATGATCAAAGTTGCTGTCTAACAAGTTCGGACCCCGAAAAGGTCTAAACAAGGTCCATCCGGAGTAATGAGGGGGTGGCAATAGTGATATTGTTCGTCCGAAAATTTCCTAATTTCAGGTTTCTAGAGGCTACAGTATACTACACTTTACTATACTGTCCTATACTATACGATGCTATACTTTACTTGTACTATACTTGTACTACTTGTACCATACATGTACTACTTGGTACGACCGTGTCCGCGTGGATTAATATTACCACCCCACCTCCCGTAAACCAACAAAAACAAGTTGTGGGGGGGGGGGTGTATTCTTCATTGTCATGGTAACATTACCCTTCATGCTTCTGATATGGTGATTCGCTGTGCATATACTCGCTGCTTACTGGTGGCTAGTAGGGACTGAAGAGCAAAAAAACGAGGCTTAGCGTTTGAGGTTAGTAGGGAATGAAGGTGCGGGTTACAGGGAAGATCACCATAGAATACCGTACAGGTGGTATGGGAGATTTTTCGTTAAACGCACCCCAAGAACCTACAGAAAGGCTCCCTTGAACACAAGTGGAACGGATCATGACTATCCCACATTGCCACCTAGTGGTTCCAGGAAGGTGTTGCAGAGTTTAACTGAGGGTTATAGGGTTTACGGCTTAGGTTTGAAAGTTTAGGCTCAGCATGTGTAGGGGCAACGAAGTCTCTCTCGTGCCGTCGAGTCAGGCGGGCTTCTCCCATTACTGGAGACTCAATCCTGATCTGTTTCTTGGCTGCTTCTTTCTCTGATTATCAATCATTTTTCCTAGGACGCCTCTGACGTTTGTTGTTTGTTCATGCCTTCATTGAGCAAAGCTCAACCTAACAGCTTCGGATTCTGAAACCCAATCACCAAGCTAAAGCTCTGACTTACTGATTCTTAGTAGGGAATGGAGACATGGATCCCTGTAGTAACCCTCATACAATCTCCAGGAATTCCATCTTTTTGTCCATTCCTTCGTTCTACGAAGCGGCAAGATGAAGGCGTGAAACTGTAAACCATGCATCGCCAAAACAAGGGGTCCCAAACAAACCTCTTTGCGGAACGTAATGAAATTGGAAGTGAAAGGTCGAGTCTGGTAACCCGGACCCACATATACTATACGATAGCTATCAGATAATAATAGAAGGGTCGTTTGGCTGTGTGTTTTAACAACATTCCCGGTGTCTCAAGATCAACAATGTGCGTTGGGCGCCAGGAGGCGTGCTGCCACGTTTGAGGCTTTCGAGCTCGAACGCTTACCGCAGCCCTGGTCAGAATGGAGCTAAGGGTTTCGAGTGTGGTCTCAAAACGTGGGATCATGGTGCAAAGAAAAGGGAACCTGAAAGGGTACCTGAGTTTATGTAGGCGCTTGCAAGGATTGAACGAAAGGCCGATTGATTGAGGCGAGGGTTTGGGGGTGAATTATTCTGTGGTGGTATGAGGGCTATGAGGGAATAATGTTGGTAAATATTCGGGCTTTCACATTAGCCGTCTGGATGGTGCCTAGGTTTTTGGAGTTTAAGGGAGCGTGCTTGGCGCTTGCTAAACCAAAGCCCTAGGACCCCAAACATCTCAACCTCCAAATGCTTGCTTAAAAACACTTGTGCTGAAACACAAAATGTTGTTTTTTAAGCAAGCTTACTTAGCCTCCACGTACTAGCTGCCCCGTAACTTTTCCAAATCCTGCAGACCTAGACTCGTAACCCTTAGCCCCAAAACCCGAAGCCCCAAACACTAAGCCACTGAAGCTCGGCCAATGCACGGCATCACTTGGAGACCCATTAGAAATGTGTCGTTGCAGCCTGATTATAACTTATAACATTCAATGATAAGTCGCGTAAATCCTTTATTATGGTTATACTTATAAGTACGGTTGCGAGCAGGTAACTAATAGTTCGCCATGGACTTCCCTGCAGTGTCTCGCAAAGAGCTACTCGGGCTACACCATGATGACTTCTGCTTACCGCCGCCCCACATGCATGATTTTGTGGCCCTTTACTCATACTTCTCCTCTACCCCACGAAGAATCAGAATACTCATCATAACCAAATGCATGCGCATAATTTCAACATGAAGCAATGTGCTAATAATTGCAAAAGAAAAAATTCCAGTTTGGAGGGTCCAGGCACGCTTTGGCAAGAGTGGCGAAAGACCGCTACAGCTTAGGGTAACGATCTCAAGTGCGCGGTTGAACGTGAGGATTGGGGGATTGGGGTGGCTTAGGCCTCAGGGTGGCTTAGAAGCTTGAGGTTTTGGGTCTACGGTGTACTGGTTTTGCGGGCCTCAGTCTGAGAAAAAAGAATTCACGCCTGACAATAGGTAGAGGCAGCATAGCGTGGCAACGAGGAATCTTACTGATGCTTCCTTAAGGGGAGTGGGAGAGAGTACAGGTACTACAGTAAGGATGCTCCTCCCACCCCTCTTAAAACGCATTTTTGAATTGCTTTGACGCATATGGTTCGCAGACACCTTTGTTTTACAGATTGTGTTTGGTTGCATGACGTCCAAACTAGCGCCGCCGTTTACTTGATGCAGCGCACACAGCGGGAATATGGTATTTCTCAACATTGTGGCTCTTCAGGTGTACCAAATCCAGTACCACATACCAAGCCCTGGATGCCTCATGGGTTGACAAGTCGGGCGTTCTTCAATAGTGTTGTTTGTGGTTCTATAGGGGTTATATAGGGATAATGGAAAAGAAAATGGAAACTACTATATTGTACTAGGCTATATATTGGGGTTATATGGGGGTTACATTAATGTTAAGCTCTCTTGTTGCATGGGAGGATCCTTGCTGTGAGAGCTGCTTCCTGTCGCCCTAGCAAGGCAAGAGCGACCTGCGGCACTACTATTACTATTACTATTACTATTACTATTACTATTACTATTACTATTACTATTACTATTACTATATTACTATTATTGTTATTACTATTACTATTATTAAGACTACTATCCCTTCCACAGCAAAGTGTCTCCCACAATAGCCATGAGCTTGAGCCATTTTGAACCTGTTGCTTGCCTTCTGATGCTCGAAGTTCTGGTCAACAGTTGCCGCGCGATGCTCGAGACTGGGCAAGGGGAGACTTTGCCAGGGTTTGCTTGGCATGGCCTGTGCTCTCGCGTTCTTTTGAAACTTCATCTAATCTTGCTATTGCGTGATGCCGGGCAATCGAGACTTTCTAGTTTGGTCTTCTCCAAAGAGGATGAAAAGCTTTTCTGTATACGCCTGCAGGCTGGCCCATGCGAAGCAAGCTGTTGCCCTTGGTTCTGTATCTTCAGATCCTCATGATTCTGTGGCAGAGGTATTGGTAATCATTGGTACGGATAACCCTCCCAATGATGTCCTTCCAAAAATGCCTCGCAAATCCATGCTAGCTCTCAGCTCAGCATGGCAGCAGTAAATTTCAGATTGCTGTGAGGTGTCTTTTAACAATTGCGCCTTGCACTCTCGCAGCCTGGTGGCAAACTAGTCCGACTGTGAGAGCCCGTTACCCAAGGAATGTAGCTGCCTCCCCAAACCCAAATTGCTGAGTTGGTGAGTTCCCTGGCCAAAGCAAGGTTTACAGTTTCATTCTGACTGTGGTACGCTCACGTTAGCTACCCATTTCTTTCTCATATGTCACATATCAAACAATGACACAGCCCAGCTCCGAACTGACCAAGCAAAGAGTCTCCCTGAGCTCCCGCTGGAACTTCTGGACATCTGCAGCGCTTCGTCGCAACTGTCAAAATGCAACGACGGTTTAAGGCTAAGGGTTAAGACAGGGGCTGTTGCACCACCTTATCTACCCCAAACCCTAGAACTGACGGTATTTGGAGTAATGTGCGTGATGCAAGATTGCCACCATCCACCATTGCACCCCTCCTATTCCCTTAGGGAGAGAAATGAAACAAGATCCCTCTTGTAGTTCTACAGCGAAACCCTATCCTCATAAGCATACAAGATCTTTTAATGTTGATACAGTAGCATCCGTAGCCATAATGGGCCGTACTGGGGTTGGGGACACTCATCACAAGACGGCCAACTATCCACAAGGAGTCCGTTGCTGGGCTTCGTGACATTTTGCCGAAGTATGTGCCTAACCCAATGTAACTGTACATCCCTATACGTCCCAATGCTTTGCTTCATGTCCCTTTGAACCCTAAACTGGCCTAAGCCGCACACTTTGAACCTTAAGCCCTAGACACCGGACCATTCATACACATCCCTCTACATTCATACCATCCCTGTAGAGACCTTTTTTCTGGGGGTGGATCCCTATCAAAAGCCCTAAAAACAACCTTCCGTGGTAATCATGTTCTCCACCCCCCAACCACCCCCCTTAAGCACCACAGTAGTAGTTTGCATGTTCTGTTCCATTCCTGCCTAATCAACCTTCCCCATATTCCCCAACTCTATACCCGCTACTCGACTTCAACGAGGAGGTTCATCGGATCAGAATATTCAGAACATCTGGAGGTTGGAAACATTAGGAGTATTCAAAGTATGAGGAATTTCAGGAATGATAGAAGTAGTCAGGGGCGGACGACACGCCTGGGCTGAATTCGCTTGGTTTCTTCGCCGTGCCTCTGCAAGCCTTGTCAAGACAGGGGTCTATGGTTTGGGCAGTAGGGTTAAGGGTTGCAGGGCTTAGAGTTCATATAGGATTCAGATTTTCGGTTTGGGGTTTGAGGTGGTGTAGAGGAGGATGGGGAGTGCCAAAGTCTGGTCCGCCAGAAACCACTGCCCCAGATCTCTCGAACACCAAACAACTGTCTCTGCAAAGAGGCAGCTGGAGGGTCACGTAAGAATGATCTCGCCCTAAACCCTATGCCGTCTCTCCATACCTCAATTCTAGTCACATGCGGCAACCCAAGCTGAAACCCTAAAACCCAACCCAAAGGACCAACCAAACCCTAAAATCCCAACAACCGAAGCTTGAGCTTAAACTCGAAACACCCAAACATTAGACCCTGAAACCGTTCAAGCTTTTCTGCAGGAGGCTTTGTAGAGGCTGCCTGGCGTTCCGCCTGTCCGCGTGGTTGTCTTCTCACTGCACAAAAGCGGTGTAGCTGAAGGTTCATGAGCGCTGGTAAATGTGGTTATAACTACCTTAACTCAAGTTTTAACTCCAAGTGTATTCTCATGATCAAAGGCGCTCATGAAACTTCAAGTACGGTATGGGGACTGCTCTGGGCTCATGGGATGCGCTTATGGAGCACGGTGTTGAGCTTTCAACGCCAGGATTTGTAACGATGCAGCACCGGACTTGTCCTGAAGCACCTCACCAATGGGGATTCCAAAACCAGAGACATAAGGGCTCATATTGCAGGATCTCCTTGCCCACAAAACTACGGATATTGTCATGTCAGAAACGAAGCTGCCCAGCTGCTTCCTTTGCTTCAGGGAAGCTTTACACACGACATCTGGCTAGACCGGCTGACTCGCATGTAGTGCAGCATCGGCATGACATCTCCACTCAGCTTGAATCAAAATGCCTCCGTGCAGAACCTACAAACTAAATCCTGTAGCTCCTAGTCCCAAAACCGTGTAAGCTCTGTCTCCTAAACTCCAGACCCCAGCGACCCCTAAATCCTACACCCAGAACCCTGAGCCGGTAAAAACCTCGTAGACTTGTGAACCCCAAATAGTATAGTGGGGTCCATCCTTTTCTTCCCCTGCTGCAAACTTCATGGGTATCTAGGAGAAAGGTCATAAGTGCCCCAAACACGCAGGTATCCTACATCATCCTACCGAAAACCCCATCTTAGAACTACCCATGAGCCTCCTAAATCCTAAACCGCCTAAACCCTAAACCCTAAACCCAAAACCCTAAACCGCCTAAACCCAAAACCCTTTGCCCAAACCTCGCTGGCGGCAAAGTTGCCGATGCTTTCGCCCGGCTTGGCCTGGAAGTTGCCACGGTAAAGGTTGCTCAGCTTTAGGGGTCACATGGGCAGTATGTGAGAAAAATGGAAACTACTATATTATAGGGATTATATAAGGGTTATATTTAGGGATAATGGAAAAGAAAATGGAAAGTACTATATTATAGGGGTCGTATAGGGGTTAAAGGCATTTGTGGGTTAATCAGAGTTTTCAGATTGAGGCTTCGGGATCGAGGGATTAGGGTTGTAGGAAAAGAGCCTAGGGATCAAGGATGAAGGTTCAGGGTATGACATGTGACTTTCTTGTCCGCAGTAAACGGACCGCAAAAATTGTAATTCAAGTTAGCTTGGCCAGGAAACCATATTCAGCCTGTCACCGGTGTACGACCTGTCGGGGCCCAATGACCCCCTCATACTCAATTCCGCGCGCGAAATAAGAAGCCTCCCCACGTTCCGAACCTGATACTGATGCGTTGAGGCAACATTTATGATCAGGCTGTGGGGGAGGGCTATTCATTAGGGGGGAGGTGATTACTCCCCTTAAGGAATCCTTCTGGTTGTTTTGACCCCGGTGTACTCTGGATAAGTGACCCCGTTATCCATTCGTAACTCCAAATATCAGAGAGGTCCCTGAACCAAAAATCGAGACCCCCAACACAACCATACCCTAAACCAAAACCCAAAGCCTGCGCACCTATAAGTAAGCTTCGAGCCAGTCTCATGCCCGGAAAAAGCTCGAGTTAAACTCCAAGGCCCTAAACCGAAATTTCACAAACTCCAAGTCAAGGCTTGGTAGGTTGGGACGGCCAGCATACCCGTTATGAATTCAGCTTGAAGATGCTGCTTGTTTTGAGTTTAGGGTTCGGAGGTTAAGTTTGAAGATTTGCTGCCAGCGGGTTGACGGTACCTGGACATTCCAGTCTAGTTCCTCTTCGGGTTTGGGTACGGCTTTTTGATCAGAACTCTTCTGAGGACTTCACCAACAAATCTGTTGGGAGGTCTCTGTTTGGATGTCCCCGAAGGCCTGAGGCCGCGTAGCTACTTGATTACCACAAAAAGACTATACTCTTGACAACCCACCATATACGGGGGTTTCCCAAATTAGGGGTACCATTTTAGAGGTCCCTGTAATAAGGATTATAGATTATAATAGTAATTGGGGTCTAGATTGGGGTCCCCCTATATTGGGAAACTACCATACACTTAAGGTAGTCAGCAAGACTTGCGGCACGGCAGCCTCCGTTGCCCCGAGCTTGACTGCCTCCAATTCACCTGCAGGGCAGCAAATGTGTGCCCAGGGACCCTGAGGATATACAGGAACTAGAAAAGGATGATAGGAACCTGAAGGACAGCGCCACAATTCCTCATTGGTAGGCTTGGTGGGTGCAAGGTTGTTGGGCTCAGGGTTCTGGAAGGGACAAGCCTAGAAAGTCTCTATTTATTCAAACACCTTCTTCGGACTTGGCAGCGGTCAGCAGAGTGTGCCTGGATTCTTCGTCCGAGACATCCATTTTTCGACAGCATTTTCTGCCAGAAATGCACCCAACCAATGGACAACTTACAAGTTTCTACTGCGCAAGACCTCTCTCCTACGTCCTAGATCATCCTCCAAAGCCCCATGGACCAATAGCTGAGTGTAAGAGCCTTTGGAGCATGCCGTCGAGTTGCGCAACAGCTGCGTGATCTTTGCCTCTGCAGCCAGCTCCTCGCGATCCTGCAAACTAACGATTCCAACTTCCCAATCTGGGATGGGCCTCTTCGAGTTTGAGGGCAGTTCATCTATAACTCACACGATTAAGGCGCACCTTGGAAGCATGACCCTCGAACGACCCCCCTTCCCACTCTGGATGAAGGACATCCTGCACCACCGCATCCTCAGTACCGAATACCCTGGGAACTTCAGTGGTTTGAAGATCTAACGTGATGCAAGACTTGCCAGAGTCCCTCCACCCTAAAAACCACATGAACTCTGCTGGGGATTCGTTAAACCGAACATACATATACAATTTGCTTGTACTTAGAACCAAGTTGCCAGCCCCAAGTTTGTAACTTGCTAGACACTAGTGTTAGCTATAGTCGTAATTCTGAACGGCAATACTTAAGAGGATTACCCCGTCATGATACTCATGCTTTTCCCGACACGGCCAACACATCTAAAAAGCACCATATACTCCGAGTTTCCCTGTAGTTGTTCATCTTATTGTCCACTTGATTCTCCAGTGTTCTGCTGACGTCCTAGATATCCGGGATTATGTCTCCATAAATGCATATATATATATACATATTCTATCTATCTATCTATCTATCTATTTATCTATTTATTTGTTTATGTGTACAGATACATATACGCCCTCTTCATCAGCCAGCCTTTGCCACGAGAATCTGGTTCAGTGTTGCCACATGCTGGCGGGAAACGGCCATTTCTTCTGCCTCGGGTCAGTCCCCAAAGAGGTGGTTTGGGGTGTTGCTAGGATTTATCGAGTTTACAAGGTTTGTAGGCTTTGTGGCACTCAGGATTTAGGGGTTAGAGTTTAGTGTTGTGAGGGTTTATAGGGTTCAGGGCTCAGGGTTTGCGAGTTCAGGGTCTAAGGTGAGTAGAGTCTATAGAATTCAGGTTTGAAATTTAAGGTTGGGTTGGATCACAGTCTGAACCAAAAAGGGCATGAGGGAATCTCAGAAGCCAAGGCCTGAAATTGCGAGTCCCTACATGTATCAATTACACCCCAAACAATGCCAGACAGCCTTGTGCAGAGGCTGAGAGAAAATGAAGACCGCATGATCCCACTGCCGCGACTAGAGAAGGGCCGGGAAGTGGCCACAAATACTCATCAAAAGTTTCTTATTAGTCACTTCCTGCTGCTTCACGGGGAGAGGGGGAGTGCATCCCCGAAACAAAACCTTCTATAGCACCCCGTAACAGTGCATGTATGGCATACACTCTTTCCCCCAGTCCCCCCTAAATTGCAAAAAGTTCAGTGCCGCCTCCACCCGGCGCGTGAACTCGACTTCGGCCGTCTGGTCGTGCACGACAGCCTCGGCCTGCATCCGTTCAAGCGGCAAGGAACCCAGTAAAGTATACTGTAGTTTATTATCGTACATTGTAACATAGTATGGTATATTAGGGTATATTGTAATGTCGTATAGTATACTAGAGCGAGCCCGATAACTTTGGTCAAGCCCAATAATGTTGATCAGAAATGGGGAATCAAAATGCCAGGAACAACATGGATGCTGACCTGTTGAGGATTTTATGCGGCTGGACGAACCCTTTGATCAAGAAATACAACAATACACCATAAATCATATTGTAGAACCCCGAAAACAGCCATCAAAATTACCTTGAGCCCCGGAATGAGGAGTATTCAGACCATTATCATGACCAGCTGGGTAATCATAAGCCCAAAGCCCTCAGCCCGAAACTATAAGTTTATGTCAGGTGTACTTGGAGGTCCATACTCTCTTCTATTTGCTCCTCCGTTATTCTAGTCATTTCCTGAATCAGAGCCTGAACCCTAACACCTAAATCCTGAACTCTTACCCCTAAACCCTGAACCCCAATCCTACACCCTAGATAAGCTCCCCATGACCCCCTTCAAGGGGATTTTCAAGGTGGGATTAAAAAAACCCTACCAACACCCTGAACCCTAAACACTTGGGCAATTTCTGAAGCCAGGTAGGGCCTGGCCCAGGGATACGCCAACACGGGTGTTGTCTTGCTCAAAAGCTTCCTGAGTGCAGCCACTTGGTTTAGGAGTTACTGTAGGGTTTAGGGTTTAGTGCAACCACTTTAGAGACTTTATGGGCTCAAGCTTAGGGATTTGAGGCATTTAAGGCTTTTATGGGTCTAGGGCTGAAAGGGTTCAGGGCTGAACGATTCACAGGGCTCAGGGCTTAGCTTTCTGCAGGCTGCGGGGACACCCAAATCCAGTCAGACGCCGCATGGGAAATGATTGAGAACTTGCCCTGAAGCTGTCGGAAAAATGGGGAATGTTCTGGCAGCGGCCATTTTCAGCTCGAGAACTCTACAGTCCTATAGGCTTTAGAGCCAGGGTGGTTATTAAGCTCATCCAGACCCAGTCCATCCATTGCAAAAAAAGCAGACCAGCCTGTTCCTGTCAGCTTGAAAATACTGGATTGACTGAAACTTCTAAGGAGTATCCCACGTTCAACCCAACATCTGACCACCGAACGGCCAACTGCATTTTTGTTTGCTTCGCAAACCTCTACAATGCAAGTGAAATAGACTTCGATTCCGGGGTCCTGAGTGCAGTTTGCACCTAAGATCCGCACTAATGGGCAGCGTTACTGGTTCAATTACTACGGCCTCACGCCAAATGTCCACATCTGCATTCGCAAATGTTGTGTATGCTACTTTTATGACAGAAACTGGATGGCTCTCCAGCTTTGTTCCCGTCCTTGAGTGCTCTCTGCCAAGACTGAGAAACTACCAAGCAGCTCAAAATACTACAATCATCACAAAATTCCTTGGGTTAAAAACAATCCTGTCTTGGACTCCTTCTGCCCTGGAACCCTACGAAGTAAATTCGATCAAGCTGTTTATGGGATGTTTACCTTTCTAGTCGGAGTTTAACCATGTTTCATGGCATCCCCGGACAAAACTGCTGAGAAAAGCAGTGCTCTCTAGTAAGGGGATGCGGGGGTCCTTGCTGAATTGTTTGCGGTAACCAAAAATCAATCCAATCCCGAAACCTCATCTAAAAAATACTCCCTGGTTCCACTTCATCTTCCACGTCCTTGATTTGATTCTCCATTTTGGGAGGGCAACCACAGTCCTCTAGTTGACTCATGGTTGTTTTTCAAGGTCTCCCCAATTGAACAGCCAATGTATGGACTCACCAATATTCCTAAGGAACTATATATACCCTCAAAAGTAACAGGATCAGACCTCAATTGCTTTCCCTTGGGAGCTCCCAAGGATAGAAACTCCCCTCATCATTTTGGATTCCGCATGGGCCCTCCAAAGACCCCAGAGCACGACACAAGTCTACAATACGGTGCAGTGTTAGGGCGACCAGGTGCGAGACATACTCAACTTCAGTAAGATCAGGATTCCGCAGGGAAAAGAGTGGTAACTGTTTTACACATCATCGGTTGCTCTGTGGCGGTCCAAGCTCACCGCTGTCGGGATCTCTTACTTCGTTCCTTCTTGGAGTAACTGTAGAACTTGTACAGTACATTCCCTTTTGATCTTTTATCCCCAACAATGACCCATACGCCTAACCCGTGAAAGCCTCAGGAAGTTCAGGACAAAACTCATATTCATTTTAGCCAAACGGATCTCCGGATAAACCCGGTAGTCTCTAAACCACCTAATCCCTGAAGTCCACGCGGCGCGCAACATGATTGAACGAAGCTGTTCCGTCTTCGCCCTGTTTTTTCACACAGAGCAGTGCTTCGGCGCTTCCGGGCTTAGCTTGAAAGTTCAGGGCTCATGGAAGGCTAGGGTCTCGGGTTTAGGGCTTCATGTTTAAAGTTGCCGAGGCCATGGAGAAAGATGCGTCAGGATTGGGATTCCCTTTCGATGGGCTTGATTCGCCACAAGTTGAGCTTCCTTGCGCTTGTACAAAGTGTAGGAGCCGGAAAACCACTACATTGACCTCCCAAGTACACATGATACTAGCCTATGTACCATGCTGCACCCGTAATGAAGGGGCTGAAGGCCACTGCCAGGGACATCCAGCAGCATGCTAAAGCCTTTACGTTTACGAGTTCAACTCCTCAGAAGTGTACACCTTTTATCCCCCTTTGTCGCTTGACCATTCGGATAGTCCTGCGAGCTTCTAGAAGAATCGGATAAGGATTGAATGGTCTTCTTAGTTTGTATGTACGCACAGTCCGTGACGTCTCCCAGATTCTCCATGTCCTTGATCTATATGAAACTGAAGACCCTCATTACTAGGCTTGCCACATCCATACAAGAACATGACACTACCCAGAACTCACAACAGACCCCCCCCAGACTACTGATGACTGCTCTCCATAACAGCTTCCATGTCTGGTTTGGGGAGGGCGAGCAAAACTATAAACCTAAGTTAGCAAGTGCCTTGCAAGCAAAAAAGCTGTGACTGACCCAATCCCATGCGGAGTCTCTGTCTGCGTGCACGTGTAAAGCTTACGGCTTCTGCCTTCTAGCTTATGACAGGCTTTGTGCCAAGGTTCCCTGGCCATACAGGTCAAGTTTAGCACAGCCTCTGCATCAAATTGCCGTCTAGAACTGACATGATAGCATTCAAGCAAAGTTGCTGGCGGGCGAGGTCTTCGACGCGCTGTTGAAGATCTTCCAGCTTTTCCTGTGTTGTTGGATGGCGTGAAGCGCTTACATCCTTTCTGGAGACAGCTTTCAATTTATCCAGCATCAACTTATCCAGCATGTAAGCATGTATACTGTATACCATGTGGGGGCATTGGGCTCTCTGGGTACCAGAATCACTGACCGCAGTTCAAGACTCAACTGGACCTCAATCCCTTGATTTCTACACAGCTGAAAGACCAATCCGTGGACGTGCACCCTCGTTACTTCAATAACCGGCCACTGGTAAGCAATGAGTTCCAGGGACTAGGCTCAAGCATTACATAGGGACTACTCGAATGCTTTACCGATCCATTCCTCCATTCCTTACTAACGACCCAGTACCCCACTACCTCGACCCTAAACTCCAAATACGGGTCTCCATTGTCTTTTTCATTCAACCATTCCTTACCACCCACCCGTAGATCATTCATCTTGCCTCGATCTCTGCCTTACGCTGTACTTCCGACAGGCAGCGGGAGCCTGGCGGCCCATGGACCCTCAAAGGCTTACGCCCAGAGAGCTTGATACATATGGGGGGGTTTCCCAAAATCAGGGGTACCCTTTTGGGATTCCACACAACAAGGATTATAATATTTGGGGGTCAATATGCAGGGTCCCCCTATGTAGGGAAACTATCATATTAATCGAGAAATATACCGAACATGATGCTAGGACCGCTAGGATCCCCAATATGTTTCAGGATGTATTCCTTGATTCAATGTAGTTGGCTCTCCAGAAGGTGTTGGGTGTTGGTTTCAGGGTGGTAACTGCGGTAACCAAAGCCCAACAGGCATGACTCTTCAGCTTGCTCTGAAGGAGGTTTCAGGCAGGCATGACCCCCGAAGAGATATCAGGATCCTTCATACGATTCATGGTAGATTTCATCAACTAACGGGTATTGGGCTTCCTGGGCCATCCGCATAGCCCGGCAAGGCAAGCGCTACCTCCGAAAACAACGATCAACGTTTCCGTCTCCCAGCAGAAACCCTGAACCCCAGCCCGCGTCTGCTTTTCTGAGACCTTGAAAAGTGGCTCCGTCCCGCAGCCAAGAGATGTCCACCTCATGGTGTGCGGGTTTCGGACTTCGGCCTTACAGGGTTTCGGGCTTACAGGGTTTATGTTTAGGGTTGCCACGGAAAGGTGATTAGGGCCTCGCTGGCTTGGAGCTGATTGGAGCTGTCAACCAAAGTAAAACTTCCTTGGAACCAGTCAAGTTGTTGTATTTCGGCAATTGAATGTCCCTCGCACATCGGTTTGTTCCTAGTTGCTGAGTTCCCCGACCCCAAAAAAGTTCACCTTCTCAGTAAGGTAGGATTACATATACCCCAAAAAAGCGAAAGATCAGTTACCCGGCTACTAAGTCATTGATCCACACATCACCACAAAAATGAGCCCTAAGCCTTGAGCCTGTCTGATTGTAGCTTGGACGGTTCGAGAAACGGTTGATGGGGGCTGCAGACCCCAACCCATGCCCTCCTAAGCCTACACCTACGCAGACCTCCCAAATACTTATCAAGACAGCCTGTTACTCTCAGATCATATCTATGCGGACTGTTCTGATAGAAATTTGAAGGGTCTCGGTACACCACTGCCCCAAGATCAATGCACAGCAATGCACCTGATTCTGCTGGATGATGTCGGCGGCTGCGCGTTGTCTCACCGCCAACTTCTCCAGCTCCTCCTGTGAAGCGGATACGGGTTTCCTGGAAATCCTTCAAATGGGGCTAGAACGGTTCTAGCGAGCGGGATCCCTTTGAAAGGATTGAAAGGAAAGGTTTTCGGGGCTTGTATTGTGTATGGATGTAAAAGGATTCAAGATTGGGGCCTGGCTAAATAGAAAAGGGCATCATTGAGGTGTGTTGTGCCATGCTGGATGGTACTTTGAAGGCTCTCAAACATTTTATGAACAAGCCCCTTGAAAAATGAGGGAGCAAACAAGTATCCGAAACGGCCACCAAGCAAAATTACAGAAGGATGCTCAGCACTCCGGGCAACTATGGAAGCTGAAGCGTTCTGGCAATGTTCGATGCCTGCCTGAAAAGTTCGTGTTTTGCGAACACCTCTGCCGCGAACATAAGGTCAATAGTCTCGAGCTGATCTGATTCATTCTCATGGCTTAAGGTCCGTGCTTGCCCACAATAACACACTCTGCAAGTTTAGCGATGACTTGTGAAGACTTCCAGGGCCTTCAACACGTGCTTCTGAGAATCGCATCTATGAAAGCCGAAAGATGCGTCTTCATGTTCTTCATGTGCGGATCAATGCCAAGCTCACCCTGTTGCACCCAGTCGGATTTCGTGGAGTCAAGAAGCTCCGAAAAGATTGCTGTTCTCTCTAGAGACGGCTAGCTCGGATTCCGTTGGCAACAAGGGGATAGTAAAGCCCTGAATACAACATATGAACTAGTCTAAACTCCTAGTACCCCCCGTAATAACCCCCATAATACTCCCCTATATAATCCTCTATAGAACCCCCGCTTTAAGGAGTTTAGAATATAGCTCCTATGAGCCCTGGACTAAAGTTGTAGGACGTCCCTTAAGTAGGTCCCCCTATACCCGCCTACATATCCCTGAGAGGTCCCCCCCAACCAACAATTTGGTCCATAGCTGCCCTAAACCCTACTCCCTCACCCCCTTTTTCAAGGAGTTTAGACTAAACCCTAAACCCTAATCCCCTTTTTAAGGAATCCCCTGTTTAAGGAGTTTAGACTAAACCCTAAACCCTAATCCCATTTTTAAGGAGTTTAGACTATACACTCCCCAAACTAACATGGAAACTCATATAGTGCCCTTTTAGAAGGACTGTAGTCTTTATAGGGCCCTTTTGGGTTTCCATGTTAGTTTCTGAGAGTGCAGCTCCCATGGATTTTTCGTAGCCTGGAACTACACCCTAAACCCTAAACCCTAAACCCTTATAAACTGGAAAGGCTCAGGCGCGGGCCATTCAAACCTGGGACGCTGTAGATCTACATGAGGTTAAGGGTTTAGGGTTTAGGGGTTAAGGGTTTAGGGTTAAGGGTGTAGGGTTAGGGGTTTAGGGTTAGGGGTTTAGGGTGTTGGGGTTTAGGGTTAGGGGTTTAGGGTTTAGGGGTTTAGGGTTAGGGGTTTAGGGTTAAGGGTTTGGGGGTTTAGGCTTAAAGGGTTTGGGGTGAAGGGTTTAGGGGTTTAGGGCTGAGGGTTTAGTGTTGAGGGTTTAGGGGTTAAGGGCGGGTTTAGAATCTTGAAAAACTTCTTGGGCTATTTAGGGATTGAAAGTGGGCTCTTTCTCGGTTTTCATAGGTATCATAAACGGTTACGACTGAGGATGGTTTCGCAAAATGGGTTGCTCTTGACAGCAGCGGTCTGCGCTAAGAACCCTACCGTTGAGAGGGATACAGTAACCCTGAACCCATCTAAACCGTAAACCTTAACCCTAAGCCCTGAAACAGGCAAGGCCGTCTCTGGGAAATATTCAAAATTTGGCAGTGTTCGGTCTCACATCAAGAACGTTTGACCTGCTGGGGGCTGGATCCACACCGGCTGCTTCTTGAAATTTGTGTTTACACGAGCTTATAGTCTGAGCTTCCTAAATGGGTTGTCTAGGGGATTCTCTAGCGTAGTATTCTAGGGTTATTATCAAAGGAGGATACTAGAAGCTTAGACTATAGCTCAAATGTTCACAGTGGATAGCCTTACCTTAACACCTAAAAGCCCTCTTCGGTTTGATCTCGCTTGGGCATGCCAGTTGCGCAGCATTGAGGCTGAATCTGGCATCCGCGTGATTGCACATCCTCTTTGGTAACATGTTTCAGTGCTTAGGGTTCAGGGTTCAGGGTTCAGGGCTTAGGGTTGAGAAATTAGGGTTAAGGGTTGAGGTTGTAAAGCTTAGGGTTTTGTGGTGGACACCCACCCAGACTGACAAAGAACAAAGTGTCGCAAAGTAGGAAGGGCGAATGACCGTTGATTACATTGGTTCTTTTTATTACCGTTAAGAATACCTAGACGCCAACAATGTGTAGAACAATGGCATTTTGGGCTATTTGCAAGGGTTTGGGCTATCATTTTACCTACTTTTGGGGTTCAGGTATGGCCATGATAGTCAACACCACCCTCCCCCCCCCCCCAAATTTCCCAGCACAGTTGCCACCACTTGCTGGCGACCGTGGCAAGTGAGCTATCGGCAAAATCCAAGGGTTGAAATGTTATCTCGGACATGGNNGGGCCTTCGGTTTTGGGTTACCCCTTTCGTTTACAGGGTCTTGGCACGAGATAACCGGAAGACTACTCGCTGAGGCGAAGCATTTTGCCTGTTGCTCAGGTATAAGTAACTCTCGTTTGCATTAGGATGCCAGCTATTTAAACCCTAAACCCACAAACCCAATAAGCCATATAAACCTTAAATAATAGTTACCATGTTCTTTTCCATCATTCCCTGGTCCCTGCTGTATGTAATCCCGTATTGAGGGACAGGCGAATCATCTGAAGCAACTGGAAACGCTAAACCCTGCTAAGCCCCGAACGCCTAAACCAACTGCATGCCAGCTGCTGGCAGCCGCCCTTGCCAAGACTTGCTCTCGAAGTCCCTCGTCGGGCTTCTGGAGCTCCTGCTCAGTTTAGGGTTAAGGGCTAGCGATCAGGGGTCAGGGTTTAGGGTTAGTGTATGGTTGGGGCTTGACCAAAGGGTCTTATGTAGTTCAGTTCCTGTAAAGGGATACAGGGACATGTACAGGTATATCGGATATTTCGTGCTTGTGAGGGTGTCTTGGCGAGGGGTTATAGTACATATTTTCCAAAAAAAAGAACTACAAGAACTACTTAGGAGCTTCTTTGTAGTGTTTAGGTATTACGGTTTAGGGCTTGGGTCGGCGAATTGATAGTTGATCAACATTCTGTTTCCAAAATGGCCTATAAAATAACTTCCCTTGTCTTTGTCCCTAAACCCTAAACTGAACCAGCATTATGTTACCTAGGCTTGAGGTCCAGGTAGATGCTATGCAGTCTCAACAAAGTCTGATTTTAGGGTTCAAAGGCGTAGTTCAAAAGACTCTGCACACGAGGTTCTTTCATCTAATTGAGAAATCTAACAAACCCTAAACCCTAAACCTAACAAGTCTTTGAGGACGAGGAGGGCAGGAGGGGGTCTCGCAAAGCTTCTTCGGCGCAGAGAACACGAGCTCAATATTAGGGGTACCTTAAAGGTTTACTATTGGGAATTTATTTGTCTGACCCTTAAAATTAGGAATTTCATACTATTGGGAATTTATTTGTCTGACCCTTAAAATTAGGAATTTCATTTGGAGTCTTCATCGTCCCCGTGCAGCTCCTGAGAAAGTATTGATTTTTTGGGTGCTTGCAACATTGGCAATCACGACGATTGTCCTCAGTCATGTTAATACTGCTGCTGGTAGCTTCACGTGTACCTGGAGTTTCACAGTTGGCAAAATAAGAGCCCTAAACCCCTGAAGGTACAAAAGCCAACTTTTCTACATACTTGAGGTCCAGATAGGGATACGCGGGGTTCACAGGAGCATGATGCCTATCGGCAAAGCGCTCACATGGGAGGCTAACAAAGGGATGCATGGAGACTGGGGCTTACTAAAGGGGATTGACAGGGTTTATTTAAGGTTTATGGATATAGGATAGAGGGTCTAAATGAGGCCATATACAACGATGGAGAATCAAAAGATAAAGAACATGGAAACTGGATCTGTGTAGCGGCTTGTAGAGACAGTTGCTTCCATGGGATTGGGAAAAAAGGGCCACCAGGCGCTTGCAACCTCCCGATCCCAAAGGACCCATGTGGGTACATAGTATATGCTCGGGGACCAAGGAGGGTCTCATAGAATTTCTTTGTGCCCCAAGTATATATAATATCCCTAAACCCTAAACCCTAAACCTAAACCTATCCTATATAATTCCATGGCCGTGGGCTCCTGATTATTCTGGACTATATTAGGGACTTTCCGAAATAACCAGTGCCACCCCTACGCCACTGCTAGGTCCCTTAATAAGACGAATATTGACAGTAGCTCAAATACCATATTCTAGCAACATGGGCCCTTTGGTCTTTCTCTACCAGGACCCTCCTTGTACCCTTAATTGGGGATATGTGGTCCCTAATAGTAGGTACTTACGCCCTAATAGAGGGTAGGAGGAGGGTCCAGGTACACAATTCCGAGAGCACAACTCTCTGGGACTCTGAGGGCCCCTGCGCAGCTGTCTTCGTTCTTCAACATCCAGTGCTGGCAAAAAGTTTAGGGTTAAGGGTTAAGGGTTTAGGGTTAAGGGTTAAGGGTTTACGTCTGGTAGTTTCCCAAGTAGGGCACCCCAATATACACCCCCAAATACCATAGTCTTGATTAGAAGGAAAATACACCCCAATGTTGGGAAACTGCTGTTTAGAGTTGGGTTGAGGATGCAGGGCTTAGAGTTGAGGATCTATGGTCTAGTCTAGGCTTCAGGATCGAGAGCTTAAGATTGAGCTCATCACAAGCTGCAGTTAATCTACAGATGGTTACCCCCAAAAACCTGAACCCTAAACTCTAAACCCTATTACCAGTTAGTACCAGGAGAGCTGCTTTCCAGCTGCAAGACTGGGATATAGGTCTGACATTCAATGGGCACTTTGATCTTTCGCTTCAGGTTTCAGATCTTGGCAATGCTATGACCTCCCTGTGTTCGTGGTTGCAGCGATGGCGGTGAT